TTGTTTCTTTTCAAATTTCACATTGAGTAAGCATCTTGTATTTTTTTCGTCATCGCTTCAAATAAGTCTTTTTTTGAAAATGATAAAGGCAAACATGGACTTATATGCCCGCAATAAGACGTAATGTCAAAAGGAAGGTTTTTCCGTAGCTTCTAAACCCTTCACTCTTTGGCAATGTTTATAACTTTGCTTTTGTATTATATTATTTATTCGAATGGTTGACAGAGCATCGGCTAATTACCAATTGATTCAAACTTTATAAAATGGTAAATAATAAGGATTTTCTTATAGTTGTGTAACGGGAGGGAGATATGAATGAATGATTTATCCTCTCATTTACGTTTCACCTGTTATGAGCATTATGGGCATGATATAATAACACCGTACATTATGGACGGAAAAGAATGGTTGAAAGAAAAGGAATAATAAACATGATTTGTTCTTAGAGAGACTTGTATATACTAAGACATACACAAAACTATATATACATATATACACGTGTGTACAAACGTGAGAGAATAATATATATATATATATATATATCTACATAGCAAAGCAAAAGTAAGGAGAAACAAAAAGGAAGGGTCTTACATATAATATGGAGATACTACTGTGTCTAAAGAAGCAATATTTACGACTCCAGATTCAAACGGGCCACATTCATCTATGTTCCAGGGCAATGACATATACCACGAACGGGAAACAGCGAGTCTTGGGTTTTACAAAAATTGAGGACTGTTGAGCTGGTGTTTCATTCTATATCTGGGAAAGATATATTCCCCAACGGAACGGCACTATGGACATAAGCTGCAGGAAGGCAGATTTACCATGTGTTCGGGCTATGGGGGCCGATAAAGAAAACAACATTACGGTTTAGCTGCTGTAAAACCAACTGAATTTGACTGCTGCTTTCGTCACTGTATTGAGCGACGGCCCTATCCGTCCGTCATATGATCTAGGTCACTTATCTCCACCAAAGGGGGATATCTGGTTCATATTTTAATAATTTAGAGTAAATGTTCATAAATTTACGAATAAAAAAATATTTTCATGTTTATTTCTTTATAAATCGGTGAATGATAAATATTACATTTTTAGAATGTTGTAAATATAAAATTATTCTTGTGAATAAATAATCTGATAAATATGTTTAATACGTTTGTTGTAAATTATCAAAAAAAAAATATGTATGAATTTACTTTCATATATTTAGATTTTTATTCCAATTCTAAACATAGCTTTTTTATAACAATAAGCATTACCGAAGAATGAATATAGTGAAAATAATATCGTTGTCATTGGGGGACCGTCATTTAACACTCCGTCTTATTGCGGTCACGTAAAATTTATGTGTGTCATAATAAGACTGGTTGAAAATTTTTTGCTTTTTTATTTCCCGATCTGAAAATCGTGTTACGGCTGTTTTCTACTTTTATCGTTTTCCGCCTGAACTAATATCAAGATTGTATTTCATATCAGTTAAACTAAATTTGTGTCAAATACAACGTAAAATAGAGATAACGGTCATAGCGCCCAATTTAACGATAATGTCTAACTAGCTGTAACCGTGAAATGTTCATGAATTTCCTTTTTGAATTTTCTGATGAATCCTAATTTTAATTTAATGATTGTAGAAGCACCTGACGAGCTCCTCCGACAACAAAAATATCCGTGGAATTTCTCTATAAATATTTAAGCTTAACAACTTAAAATAATTTAATAAGAATGATAAGTATGAATGCAGGTCATTTTTAAAAGTAAGAGAATACAAATAAAAAATTTGATAAGGTTTTCAATTTCATTGAAGCCGGTATTAAAAGCATTATCTCCTCCTCTACCTCACCTTTCTTTCTATAGTCAGGGTCTCTTGTATTTTTCTTGTTTTCCTCGTAATCCAAAAACAGAATATGCACTATTATATATCTGAGGTAACAGCTAACGTACGCGCTAAATGACATACTAATTCACAGAGTAACAAGTGAAATCATAATGTGATTATAACTTGAAAGATATGATATTGATAACTGAATTTATGTTTTTTAAATTTTTAATGTTTTTTTTTCAGCTTAACATAAAATTGATTACTATGATATATCTATCCTCTTATATGTGAGTGAGTGTTCAACCATCTCTCCACGGGTGAGAATAAAACTGGAGGCAGCGAAAAATGTAGTTCAACCTTAGGAGAAAAGTTTCTAGAGACACAAGGGATAGGAAGTTGTGGAGAGCCATGATAGCTAATGTCCTGAAGAGACGCGGCACATAGAAGAAGAAGAAGAAGATAACGCTTTGGGATAAACTAGTCATACGATGACTATTAATTAGTTTTTCTTGCAACTCTTACACATTTTTATATGATGGTTTAGCATCCTGCTGCCACCGTTTTTATCAACATCAATTTTTGTACAGCTTAGTAAATATTTTCAGAAAATCTCAACTTCTAATTGGTCACTTAATATTTAATAACATCGACCTAGTTCTTAACCTGACCAAAAGATAATTCTGACAAAATCTGTCATGCTTCTGTGAGCCTAACACGTGACCAAAGTTAGCAATAAAATATGAAACGTCTTTCATCTTCGACAGTGCACCGTTCCTTTGAACTCGTCATACAGTTCCAAGCTTTACATTAAAGTTCCTTAACATGATTCCAGCCTGAGAGAACACTCATTAACACAGCAATATTTTATCACGAACAATCAACTCCAAGTTTTCCACATTAAACTTAATACACGAATCTTTTCATACGCTTTCAGCTCAACGTTAATTATTGCAATTAATATAAACACAGCTTATTAAGAACCACTTACCCAAACTAGAATATTCTCTTCGAACAAGTGAAAACAAATCAAAGATCAACAATTCCGTAAACCTTAAAGTAAGTCGTAAACAATACAGTGTAACCCGGATATAAGAGAGTTGTCGGGACCGGAAAGAAGTCTCTTATATCCGGGTTTCTCTTATATCAGGGTTTGGTCTATTTTGTTTAGATTAACACAGGCTCTAATTTGGGACCAGAGAAAAACTCTCTTATATCCGGGTTTCTCTTATATCCGGGTTACACTGTATTTTTATTTTCGAATACAAACTTGAACTGTTTTTTTTAAGTTACTATAATACCAAAACACACTTTCTCATTATTTTTTGTGGGGTTGTCACTCCACATCATAGCAGCAGAACTTAACCTCATCTTCACGGACTTAAAAGCATATGCGACAGGAAATAAAATGTACGCAAATAACAGGAAATGCATGGTAAATTGTATATTCATTTCATACAATTTATTTATATTTTTGTGTGTGACACTATTTAGGTTGCTAGAAAGAAAAAAAAAAAAAAAAGGCGAGAATTAAATTTAGGGTGATAAGAAGCGATCACGAAATGGGACACTAAGGTTTTTTTTCTCATTAGCGAGGAAAGTAAAATTCTATTTCCATTGTCGAGAAAGAAAACACAGAATTTAATTTATTTACGACGCACCGAATAAACGACAGCAATCTGCCCATGGCAACGGTAAAAATTTCAAGTTGGACAAGTCGCCTACGAAACAGAATTCTAAAGAGATAAAAATTAATTGGGTCAAATGTCTGTTGGACCAACCGCAAATTGCCAAAAAAGTCCATTGAACCATCTCCAAAATGTCGTTTGGAAAAAACATCTGTTTATTTTCGAGGGCTGGCCATGATAGGAAAATTATTTTATCAGAACGAATAATTAACGCCAGAATGTGGATCCCGCCAAATGACCACCCACTTGTTTGGCGAAGGTCCCGGTGACGAATTCCATATGAAATTCAGGTTAAGATAAGATTAAGGGACCACACTGTCGGGTCTAAGGACTTGTTGTAAGAAGAAAGAAAGAAAAAAAAAAAAAAAAGGATTTTTTTTCTTTGAGCAAGATTTTTTAAACCGAGGCTAGTCTAGCCACGCTCACACTGCTGGGCGCCCATTGGCTGAATGCTGGCGTGAGCGGCAGCGTTAGGCGAAGAAGGAGGGAATCACACCCCCCTTAAAGGGATCGGTATGAGCCACTGTGAAGGCCATCTGTTGACACCCTCTGAGGGTATGGTGAGATACCAATATGAGAACAGAAGAAGGTGGGAGGACGAAAGACTTCCAAAATGGAAAATAATAAATTTTCCTGACCGAAAACAAAGAAGTGGATTGTGGATTTGGAATTATCAAGGAACCTCAAAACCTGACAAGCCCACCCCGGTTTTGGTTGGCGTCCATATAAGCAGAGTCGCAGCGAGTGAAAAGCAGTTAAGTTCGGAGTTCGCAGCTGAGTTGAATTGAGTTGGGCCCGCCTGGCAGGAACCTGACTGAAAGAACCCACGCAATTCCAAACTCAACTTCTAACCAAGAACAATTTATTTTTGAAGAACGACTTAGACACACACCACCAAAACAAGTTTTACAAATATCGCCTGAAGATATACCAAGAACTAGTTTCTTAAAGAACAAACAACTTAAAATGTTAAGACTCGCCTAACAAACACAAAGTGTCACGAATCCATATAGCGGGTTGGGAAGAAGACACAGTCCTGTATTCAGCAACCAGATATAACATATTGTTATCCTTTTTTTAACACATTTGAACTTTTCGAGTTATTATTTTATTTTCGTTTACATATACTTGTGCGATATCACCCTTGTTCGGACTCGACTTGCATTACGGCCCGGCGACTGATTGATTTCGTCTACCTAAGATCAAATCACAACGTGGGTAGGTTAGACTAAAAATCAAAACAGTTACTTCGGTAACCAGACGTTGGAGGCGATCTGGGAACGACAAGGCTGATACCGAATCTAACCAGATTCCCGTCCGAATCAGCAAAAGGTTAGAACGTCATATTTGCTGCCGCGACCAATACCAAGCCACATTGGTCATCACAGGACAGGATAGGACGGCGACTGCGCGTGGACAGACGGGGTGACGTCACAACTTGCGCCGTGGACAGGACAGCACGGCGGCGCGGCCAAGCAGACGTCACAATTGACGGAGCGACACCGGGGGGACGTCACAGATAGATAGATAGATAGATAGATAGATAGATAGATAGATATGAACAGAGTGAGATAGACATGAGCGTAGATAGATATGAAAATAGATGGATGGATGGATAGATAGATAGATAGATAGATATGTACAGAGTGAGATAGATAAATATGAACATATATGGATGGATAGATAGATATTAACAGAGTAAAATAGACAGATACGAACAGTGTGAGATAGATAGATAGATAGATAGATAGATAGATAGATAGATAGATATTACTTACATTACAGCTATCGTGCTGTATAGAGCCACCAGCGCACATCATATTTTCCGTAATCTCACTGATCTTTGGTCTGTCAGCATTGTCGTAAGCGAACTTACAAGCTTCGTGAGACACAATATCCAGATCAACTTGTCGTAATGCCATCTCGTATTCAGGAGCTGAAGATATAAATAAATAAATAGCTTGAGTCGCGATTACCGGCCACTCGGTTCTGTGGGGCTGACAGCGATCTAAATAAATCAGGTGACGAAATAGAATTGATAAACACACCTGCAGGGCTAATAATAACGGTAGCCAACAATGAATTTAAAGTAGACATCAGAAAACGACTAATAATTTAAATAAGATTACGTCAACAATTATTGTAGAAGACCTTGATTCATTAAGTAATTATATTTCAATTAACGTTAGATAAAGTCCTATCAATGAGTTCATTATAAGGATCATCATTATCATCATCATCATGATCATCAGTCACTTGAGTGCTTCAATTCTCCCCGGGAACCTAAGAGGAGAAGAAACAGAGAAAGCTCCTCCATGATGATTTGTTGGCAGTGGCTCTCAGAAGTTCCAGCATTGTTATGTCCATTCACTCTTTGATGCTGTCTCACCAGATCCTGTGTTGCCGTCCTAGCTTGTGTTAGCTTTCAACAGTGCTTTGCAGGATGGATTTACAGAGGCTGTTATGAGGTGACCAAACCATGACATCTTCCAACGCTTAAGAATAACAAGGAAAGATTCCTGTCGACCCACAAAGACTTGATTTTGCTCCGTACATGATCATTGGATTTGTGCTCCCAGTAGGAGAGATATTGGATACAAGTGATTTGTAGAGCTTGAACTTGGTCTGTAAGCTGATCTTGCTCTTCCATATCCTTTCCAATCTGTTAATCGTTAGTGTAGTTGTGGCAATACGCGTTCGGATCTTCGTGTTGAAGGGGACATCTTTTGATAGGGTTGCGCCCAAGTATTTGAAGCTGGACGCCTCATGCAGATATTCGTTCTCCATGGTAACGTTGGCAATGGTGGTACTTCTGCTATTCTCCAGATCCAATTATAAAACAGAATAGATACCGAGCCCCAAATTAATATATGTGCAAACATGCGAAAGATGCGCAGGCAGGATCCAAAATCTCGTCAGTGATATAAATACAGAACTTGTCGAAAATTCTCGCCATTTTAAGCCCTATGTATCCCGATCTGCAATGTGAACGTGAGATTACCTTCTTGATAAAATTGCCTTGGTGAGAAGAATGGTCATGTCCATCCATTCTTTGATACTGAACCAGCTCCTGTGTTGTCGTCCTAAGTCCGCTTCAATAGTGCTTTGATATTACAGAGGCTGTTGTCGGGTGACAAAACCATGACATATTCCAACGCTTATCAAGGAGAAATCCCTATCGACGCACAAGACTTTTGATATTGCTCCGTACATGGTCATTGGATTTGTGCTCCCAGTAGGATATATGTTGAATAGAAATGATTTGTAGAGTTTGAAGTTGGTATGATCCGTGTGCAGATCTTAGCGTTGTAGGTGTCATCTTTTGACAGGGTTGCTCCCAAGTATTTGAAGCCGGACACTTCCTCCAGGGGTTCACTGTCCATGGGGAAGCTGACATCTATTGTTTGTGTTATCCACCATTACTTTAGATTTCTCTGTGTTGAGTTCCATTCCATAGGCTGCGGCTCTTTCATCGAGTTTGTTGATCAAGATTAGCAGCTCACTATTGCTTCCCGCCATATTTGTCGTATTAAACCCATTCCATCTAATACTGAAGTCTGGTAGCTGATGCTGAGCCTCCATATCCTTTCTAGTCTATTTATCGCTGCTCTGGCTGTGGCCATCCATGTGCAAATTTCTGCGTTGCAGGTGTCATCTTTTGACAGGGTTGCTCCCAAGTTTTTCAAGCTGGACACATCATGCAGTGGTTCGTCGTCCATGGTGACACTGGCGCTTGGGTTGCTTGTGCTATTCTTTAATTCTGTTTAACACATAGAATTCACGCAGAAAAAAATGGTCGGTCTCCCAAAAAGATCATTTTTCAATCATTTTCAGAAAAATCAGTAGAAATCCAATAGTTATGAGTACTAATATCTAAACCAAGGATTCGTGATAAAATTGAGGGCTCTAGAATGCATATAAGAATGGGTAACCCAGCAAGATTCTATTGTATCGCCGACAATCATTGATGGATCATCATCATCATTATGATCAATTCTTTTACTGCTTTAATCGTCTGGAGGAGTGACGTAATGGCAGAAAAAACAAACAACCCCCCAGGATGATCTGTTGACGGGTGGCCTTCAGGGTCTTCCGTCATTGTCATGTCCGTCAACCCTTTGATGTTGCCTGACCAGTTTTTGCGTTGCGGTCCGATCTGCAGAATGTGAACGTGAGATTACCTTCTTGATAAAATTGCCTTTGGTGAGATTCTAGAATGGTCATGTCCATCCATTCTTTGATGCTGTCTAACCAGCTCCTGTGTTGTCGTCCCAGTTTGTGTCCGCCTTCAATAGTGCTTTACATGTTGCTCTTGCAGAGGCTGATGTACCGTGTGACATTGCCAAACAAATACTTAAAAGCAGCGATTCTTCATAGTATTCCGTTTCCTGCCTCAACCAGTATAGTCCAAGTCTCACACTCATAACGGAGGGTGGATACAAGCAGTGATTTGTGATGTAGAAGTTCATGTTGCTCTTCCATATTCTTTCCAGTCTGGCCATTGCTGCTCTGTCTGTGACGATCCGTGGGCGAACCCAGCGTTATATGTGCCATCTTTTGACAGAGTCGCTCCCAAGTATTTGAAACTGGACGCTCCATGAAGTGCATGTTGATGCTGACAATAATGTTGCATGTGCCAATCACCATTATTTTAGATTTCTTTGTGTCGCGTTCCATTCCATAGGTTCCGGTTCTTTCAGCAAAAGTTTGTTGGTCAAATCCAGCAGTCAATGTTACTTTCCCCCAAGGTCAATACCATCTGAAATGAAATGAAGATTGCAGACGGGTCTAGCATCGATAGGGATAGAATGTTGTGGTCATGGAGGGTTTCCTGCTTAATTCTTTGGAGACAACAGGCATCTCTGTCTCATGTCGACAGTCAGAAAGAAATCTCTCATTTGGTTACTCAAAGAAACTGTGTTGGTGGCATGGTGGTCATAGAGAGTCTGGATAACCTGTCTGAGCCTTTCTTCTATATTGACCCTTCCCAGGACATGCCAGAGGCCATTATGCCATACCAGATTAAACGCTTTCTTGAAATCAATGAAATTATTTACATTATTCGGACTATTGTCTTCATTTTTTCGCCATATTTATTACAACGTTTCGGTCTTTGTACGCTCCGGACTTCTTCACCCTTTATTTCGCTCTGGGTGAACCATTCTAGTTCCGTGCCATGTTTAATGAAGTTTGTGAATATGGCAACAAAAGATGGGGACAACAGTCCGAACAATGTAAAGATGTGAAGAAGATGAGTTTACATGCATGAAGGAAAAAGGGGCAATTCGATGGCGCAATAGTTAGCAAGTTTGTCCTGCTTGCCAGATCCTTACATTGAATAGTGTAATTAGATCCTCACTGGGCGCCCCATACTTTCGTACCACCACATCTAAGCTGAAATTACTACCATAGAAAAGGAGTTTGTTAAACCTTCATTTGGTGTTCTTAGCGGGTAGCATGTCGGCAAAAGTGGTAGGTGATTGATGGCACTCCTTTAAAGTCACCGGTAGCAAAGGGCATCATTCTGAAGCAGTATCTGCTCTCTACTAGAAAAAAAAGAACGGAAATACTCGGAACCTTTTGTTGCCTGCTGCTTTCTAGCGCCATCTATCTGTCGTTGTGAATAAGTTCATAAGTCACAATAGTCACCTCAGACTCCCCGAAGCATATGTGCTGCCAATAGATAGAAAAGTTTGAATGTTGCAGATCTTTTGTAGTGTAACGAAAGAAGATTTGGATGAAGCTGCGATATGAGTGAACATCTCTACGAGAAAGTGTACGTGTCTGAAGCACTGTGAAAATTGAATCAGTTATACTGTTGACATTTCTAGTGTGTCGGGTGTAGCACGGTCTAAAGGAATACGTCGCTGGTGTTTCGCGTTGTAACAATCAGCAGTAAGTTAAAGCAAATTTTGTCGTTTTCTGATATAACCAGTTTAGTATTTCTTTTGGGTTCATGAATTTGTAAACGAAATTGATTTGAGTTTAGCGACACAAACGTAACAGATACAAAAATGCTTTGCTATTTGTAAATTCATCTGGTGTGGGTGATAGAGAAATTCGACTCTACAGAATTGATACTGATTATGTCGAAGAACTTTTGTATAAAATGCCCGGAATTAATGTCGAAAGTTCTGGTGTTTCCATTATCAAGCTTTCAAGTGTCCTAGAAGTTGTTGTAAATCTTTAAACGTCAGTGAGCCAACAGTCGTTGAATTAAGTTCGGTTTGTTGTTTTGTTATCTTTGGTTCATTTCCACTTCAGCAATTTTAATGCTGCCAAAACTAAACTGCTCTCTTTTAACCTTTTTTTTGTCTTCTATCAGCATGGCCCGATGCTAACCTCCACGAGTGTAAAACATTGCACCTTCTCGGTCTAACGTTTTCCACTGATTTAATGTGGAACAATTGCTGGGTCTACTGCTCGGAAACACAGATATGTCTACCATTCATCCATACATCGAGTATTGATGCCAAATCTAACCTGTTACTTCTGCTATGTGTGTAGATATTCTTGACAAAATCCAAAAAGAATCTGCAATGTCATCAATTTAGACCTGACATCTCGGCTTTAGTCACTTTTCCTAACGCCGTAAGGTCGCTTCCCTGTGCCTTTACTATAAATATTTTTCATGATAATTGTTCTGATGAGCTTTTCTCTTGATACAGAGACATCACGAATTTAAGTGCAGTAATAGACTGGATGCTAGGACCTATCATTTTACTGTTGAAATTGCTAGATGTACTAATAAATTACTAACTAGAATCTGATTGTTTTTACTATTGAAATAGCTAGATGCAACCGTAAGTTCTATTCTAATTCTTACATGTCGCACATAGTAGTGAACCACCCACATTCCTCCGTATTCCATTGCTGGAAGTAAGTTCCACTCGAGCAGCCTCTTCTTACGAACCACTGCCCTGTAGAACCGACTCGCAACAGGATGTTTCTCCGATCACTACAATCTTAACCTGATCAAGGCTAAGGTTAACCGTTATCTTCCACTCCTATACGCTCAAATGGCCTCCTAACGTAACCTCTACCTCGAGTGTCCACCAGGCCTTGTAAAGGGGGAATCTTACTGTAAAAAAAAACACTGAAGAAAAATGGTCAAGTCAGCGAGCATTGACAACAGTTTACGATCATTTGTCAATAATATTAGAAAAACTAATCAGGGATTTCCAAAGAAATAGGAAAATTTCATTTTCAGCTTTTGAAAATAGACTTTTGAGAAAAAATCAATTAGTGATCATTAAAAGATCTTCAGAAAACAATAATACAAGAGAGAAAGTGCTGGGAAAACTTGCAAACTCCAAAATATTTGTTTGATTTTCACAAAGTGAGTGAGTTATCGCCCTTGGACTGTAACCAAAACAAACATTGATTTGTATTATTTATTTTAATTTGCTTAAAGTTAGTAATAAATTAATAAAAGAAAATAAACTACCGAAGGAAGAGGAATGTTTATAAAAATATTCAATAATATTATGATGATGATTGTGTTACTTCCGATACCACTAGGAAATGCTGGGAACAAAACGGTTTCAGTAGTAGTTTGAATAGAACGTTATTAAATTTTCCTGCCTCGTCGTCTTCTTTTGTATGCCTTCCAGCGGCCAGTCTCATATAATTTATCTTCTCACCCTAAGCCCAGTGAAACACTCACACACAAAAAGTTTCGTACCTCTCTCTCTGTTCTATCGTAATTTCCATGGCAGGTGTTCTGACAAGTTACATTTCTTAGTCTCACCAATTCTTTGACCTTGCATAACTGGGACCCGCCATGTCACCTACATACAAGCATGAATTATTCCTATTCCCTTTGTATTCCAGTATTAAGTAAAAGGAAGTTCCATTCGGTAGCATCATCCCAAGAACTACTGCTTTGTGGAACAGACTTCTGCTCTTTTCTACGTCTGTACAACACCACACAGTACTCTCTACCTTGAGTGGCTATTGGGCCTTGGCTTGGGCGAACATCAGTATAGAAATATAGGAGGACATTTATAATTGCTTCTCTCTTGAAAAAAAAGTCTCAAAAACTTCTGAAATGGCCCCTCGTATATTGAAATCTTCGCAAAAAACAGTGTTTGATTAGTCACTTATGCATCGTGCTTAACAAGCCATGTGACCCTTACAGTCTAGTCAGTGAAACCCAGTCTGTCAAAAAGAATAATTATTTAGGATTCACAAACATGTGAAACTCTTTCACCAACAGAAATATAAGCAAATAAATAGTAGAGAGTTGAAAAAATTATCTCCGGCATCAGGAAACGGTTTTCGACTGCAAGCGTACGAAAGTATTTATACTGCTTTATGTAGGCGTACCGATTCGGGAATTGGCATCAACATCACAAAAAATAAAAGGAAAGATGAAAAAATTTTTTAAAGAAAACAGATTCGGTAATCAAAGTAAGTACTGGGTTGGAATGCCTTTGACCGTGAAATTGGGGACATAATTATTAACAAATACGAGATGTTTCCTTATAAAGCAGTTTTTCCTGAAATCATTCTATGAGATTTTTTTGCCTGAACTGTTTACAATGAGTGCTAAAAATAAAAAAAATTAAAGTCTCTCTCCCAAATAGTCGGATAATAATACCTTTGCTAAGTGCAATAAAAAAGCAGACAGTTCAGACTATATGCATTGTGCTGTTTAACACCACGAGAAGAAGCATCTCCTGATTAAATAATATCTAATTTGATTTTCAACAAGAGTCGAGATGGTCCAGTGTATTGCGACTATGGAAACAAATGATGACTCAATTGACTAGGCTAATTTAATAATGACAACGGTCGCAAAAGACCCCTTTCGAGTCATTATTACGACTACTAGACATCCAAAGAAGTTAGTGATTGAAACCACGGACCTGCAGTCATAAATAAGGTATCTTGGCAACCTTATACAAGTATTCAATATATAAAGTTGACAAATGTATTTGTTATTCTACAAATTACGTATCTAAAAAAAATGATATGCAAAATGAATGATACTTTCAGAGTTCGAAAATAACCTTCATTGCTTGCTTAGGGTTGATGAGATAAATTTTAAGTTGTTGTATAAAGGCTGCACAAAACGTCTACTGTGTGGGGGTTGGGTTTATGGACATATCACGATGAAACACCGGTTCCCGTACGATCACTGAAGTTAAGCAATGTCGAGCTTATTGCAATTCCTAGGAGTGACTGCTTGGGAATACCAGGCGCTGTAAACTTGTTTGCAGGGTGTATTGGATAATGGATTGAATTGCAAGTCGAGAGAGCCCAGTTGAAATTCCAGTCTGCTTTCGTCATATTCACTTTACGCGCAAATATCTTTGGAAAAAGTAGGAATCCGCTTCCAGCTATGGGTTAATTACTAAGACTTGTATCAGTAAATGGTTCCATTCTCCCAAATATCTCTTGCAATCCAAAATATTTTTTTTACTAAAATAACCTACAAAGGCTTGATAAGCCTTAGAAAATCAATAAAATCAAATAAAAAAAAAAATCTGTGGATTGGTCAGTAATAAGGATTTGCTGAACGGTTGATGAATTTCTCTATTGTTACTTTTGGGGACATCGCGATGGATTTATCAACCAATCAGGTTGGTTGGTTGGTTGGTTGGTTTTTGTTTAGCGGGATATCAACCACTATGGGTTGTTAATACCGAAATCAGGAAATATTTTGGACACAATTTTATGAATTCAACTACCAGATATTTTGTACATAATTTTTGTACTTCCAAGTAAACTTATATTTTTCAAATATATAATTTCTGAATGATAATTGTTGGTAATTTTTTTAATGCTTGTTGATAGTAATTTCGCTAAAAATGTTAGTCGTTTTTTATGAAATGCATTACTAGTAACTTTATTACAAAATGTTTTTATACTTTTAAAATGTTGTACTGAATGTCATTTTACTATAAAAAATGTATTATCAGTGAATTTTGGCCTAAAATGTACTAATTATAATATTTACATTGTTTGGAATATTTATCCTCATTATTATTGTCACATTCACAACGTTTCGATGGTTGTACACTCCGGCCTCCTTGTTGATATTGCTTGAATTTTCCAACCGAGTCCAGAATAGTCAATATTTATGTTGGCGTTTCACTGAAGATTGGTTTGATGACGTTCATGTAGACGTCCTTCCTATGTTTATTTACCGAAAATGGCTGACATATAACATTCACATTCCTGAGTCGCTCAGTAAAGTCAATGTTGAGAATCTGTTCCATTTCTTCCACCCACTGCTTGCAAATATCGTGACAGAGATTGGGAATGGCTAATGTTCTTTTCCTGTCGTTCTTAGATAAGAATTTTCAATTCCAGTGCAAAACCTTTATTTTGTTCTTTGTGTATCGATGTACTATCCCCCACCTACCTACATTTATATGTTACAAATTACACTAAACACAACTGACTGAAAAAAAATGAATTGACGTAATTCTAGGGGTCTTTTTTTGTCCAAATCCGATTTTTTTTTTGCTCATTCTAAATCTCGGAAAAAAAAACTTTATAAAATTCACTAGTTTTTTATCGATAATATTGAATAAAAGATTATTCAACTTTTTAAGGAGAAAGATCTCAAGTTGATGTTAAAATTGCCGCAAAACATTGTTGATTTATTTCAGATAGAAGGATCTATTATGTGATGTCTCTAATTTGTGCTTAGATACATTGTATTCATGTAATTTTTCTTGTTGAATTGCATATGATCCATTATTGTACATAAGGTTATGTGACACTATTTATTTAGAAAGAAAGAAGAAAAAAAAAAAAAGGCGAGAATTAATTTAATTGATAAGAAGTCATCACGAAAGGACACTAAGCGATGTTATTCTTTTTAAAAAGAAAAATGCTAAAGGTTTATTCTCATTAGCGAGGGTGGGGTCGCGGATGTGTCCAATTTGATTGATTTATGACGGCACACCGAATGGTGAAAATTCAGGTTGGCTCACATGACCTACATGACAGAAACTGAGAGATAATACACTTGGGTCATGCACTGGGTAGAAAAACGAAAATGTCCATTTGGACCACCCAAGTTACAAAGAAAGAAAAAGATTGACCCGTTAGCTATCTACGGATATCTTTGAAAAAAGACATCTGTTTTGTGCAGGAGCTGGCTATGATAAAAATTATTTATCTGGAATAATTGCCCAGAATGCGACACGTCCAATTGACCACCCACTTGATAATTGGCGAAAATCTCGTCGACGAATTCCATATGAAATTCGGCTAATAAAGAACTCTAAGGACTTGTGGTCGAGAAGAAGAAAGGAAGAAAAGAAAAGAAAAAGGAAGATAATTTTTTTTTCTTTTGAGCAAGTTTTTTAAACCGAGGCTAGTCTGGCCACACCCACGACACTGAGCGCCCATTGGCTGGAATGGTGGCGTGAGTGTTAAACGGAGTAATCATGTGAAGAAGGAGGGGAGGCTGTTGCTTACTGAAGGGATAGGTGTGAAGATGCCACTCGAGAGAGGGGAAACCCGTTGACACTCTCTGAGAGGCATGGTGAGATACCAATATGAGAACAGAAGAAGGTGGAAGACGAAAGACTTCCAAAAATGGAAAAATAATAAATTTTCCTCACCGAAAACAAAGAAGTGGATTGTGGATTTAGAATTATCAAGAACCTCAAACCCCCGACAAGCCCAATTTCTGTTTTTGGTCGAAACCATATAAACAGAGTCGCAGTGAGTGAAAAGCAGTTAAGTCGAGTTCACTTCAGTTGAGAAGCAGTTGCAGTGAGCTGAGAGCTCTGAGGACCCGCCTCGCAGAAGCTGACTAAGATTCACGCAATTCCGAACTCAACTTCTAACCAAGAACAATTTATTTTTGAAGAACTTAGACTCACACACCACCGAGTTTTACGAATATCGCCTGAAGATACAATTCAAAACAAGTTTCTTAAAGAACAAACAACTTAAGATGTTAAGACTCGCCTAATAAACACAAAGTGTCACGAATCCATATAGCGGGTTGGGAAGAAGATACAGTTCTGTATTCAGCAACCAGATATAAAATATTGTTATCCTTTTAACACATTTGAACTTTTCGAGTTATTTCTTTATTTTCTTTGACATATACTTGTGGTGTTACCCTTGGCCGGACTCAGCTTGCATTACGGCCCGGCGACTGATTGATTTCGTCTACCTAAGATCAAATCACAACGTGGGTAGGTTAGACTAGAAATCAAAACAGTTACTTCGGTAACCAGACGTTGGAGGCGAGCTTGGGAACGACAAGGCTGATAGCGAATCTAACCAGATTCCTATCCGAATCAGCAAAAAGGTTAGAACGTCACATTTGGTGCCGCGACCAATACCAAGTCACATTGGTCGTCACAGGACAGGACAAGACGGCGACGGCGCGGGAGACGGCGTGACGTCAACAACTGGCGCCGTGGACAGACAGCACGGCGGCGCGGCCAGGCAGACGTCACATTTGGCGCAGCGACACCGTTACAATAAAATTTGTATTTCATATCAATACTATCTTATGAAAATTGAGATGTAGTATAGTAGGGCGTATCATAGGGTAGGATCACAAGACCTTGCACTGGCCCTGCCTGTAAGTGTCAAATTGCCCAAGCCCCCTTCTCATGATGTGTCCCAAAACAATTCAACTGTCTCTTTCTGATCTTAAGCAAGTGTATCCTTTTGTTTGTATTATATTTTAAACTTCCCCTGTTGCTCACATGTTCCTTCGATGACATTCTCAGCATTCTCCTGCTCAACCACAATTTCGGTGCTTCAAGTCGTCTCTTAATCTGTGAGGAAATTGTCTAGTTTTCACTACAATATAGGAGGATTGATATTCACACTGTACATGACCCAGGGTCCATTCTAGATGGTGGGTTGCTGAATAAGAGACAGAGATTAGGGAACAGTTTAAGATTGTAATGATAGGGGGAAGCATATTTTGGGTAGTCGGTTTCAGAAGACGGCGGCATATGGGAAGAAGCCACTCGAGTGGAACTTACATCTTACCAATGGAATACGAAAAGAATTAGTGGTTCGCTACAATGTGCGTGGCATGATGGATACTAGCCGTAAAGTCCAGGACTGGTAGAACTAAACAGTGTAGTTCATTTGAATACTTTCCATGGAAATAGTAATAGAGCAGCAAGAGGCTTGCGACGTTTCGTCTATGATTTGTACAGTTAAAAATAATTCGTCACTTAATAGGACATGGCGACGCTTTTTGGGTTCTGCCGAAAGTGGAAAGCAAAGAATAGACAGCACCTGTCCATATATGACAGCAGTACTCCATTTTCGCCTTGATTTGACTTCTTTGAAGGTAAAAAGGATAAAAGGAGAATCAGATATTTGCCAGAGTGGTACAGGGAACCGACTATTTTTCAACATCTTCAGCGATGGATTGTATGTGGGTCGAGATCCACTTGAGGTTTGGACTGAGTTTGTCCCAATAGGCCCGACTGGTAAAAAAAGTTCTGGTCCGATTGGCGATGATGGAATGTCACTAGTTTAGTTTTTGACACATTGGATGTGACTAGCCAATTTCCACTCACTGATCTGTTAGAGCTAGTTCAGGGGAGAGATCAGCTGTCGACTTTCGATCATCTAAGGTTTTGTAGATGAACCCATATACCGCTGTATCATCAGTATAGATGTTCACAGATGGTTGGAGTATACTCTTAGGCAGACCAGTTATGTAATGTCGGAAGAATGGTTGGACCAAGAAGCGAACCTCAGGGGGTGTCTGGATTGATCGTCTGGGCCACGTACTGACCGTTAACCTTCAGGAACCTAACGAAGGACATTAGAATTGAAATGCCTCTTCCAGTGATTTCATAGCTAGAAAGCGCGTGTGGTAACCTTTTATTCCACACGTTGACAAAGTTCTTTGAAATATCTAATGCGATAGTCCTTGAGATGTATTTGCTGTCTTACTGAGTAATCGCATGGGGCTGGCTATTCGGTTTCTACTGGAATTTTTTCTAGGGTATAAAACACTCTATTCCAATAAGGATCAATTAAAATACGAGGGCAGCAGTTTTGGAGGCACTGAGTGAGGACCTTCCGCCATGTTATTTTTGTTTCCAACGAAATATTTCTTTGTTGCTTAAAAAGCATTTATCGCTAGGTGATCAATAAAATTTCGTACTGATTTTATCGACTGGCAGGTTCGTTCTATTATAAAAATATTTGTATAATTAGTTTAAAAGCCACCCTATCGAGCAGCATTTAAGCTAGT